CTCAAAGGAGCCATTTCTTTTTCGAGGCAACCTCGGCCCTTAGAAATTCCCTCTACATCGTAAGCCCACAACTTCATATCTCAGCCCTGTGTTCTGGTGCCAACTAGATCAAGCCTCATGCTTCTCAAGAGCACTGTGCCACCTAGACTTGGGGTAAGACAAAAGGATTTCCTGTTTGTTCAGTTTTGTGAGAGGGAAAAGGCAGCGTACTGGAAAACAATGGAAAAAGCAGTGATCTTGGATCAGAGTGGTAGAGCTATGCATCAAAGGCCTCTATTTTTTGCTCTTTGTTCTATCAGTAGCTTTGAGTAGTGCCCACCAACCTTCAGTTTGGTAGCAAATGTGATGTAGGAAGGGGCTTAGAAGCATAGTCAATGTCTCCACTTCCTCTCTTGGGCCCCAGCCATCTCCAGGAGAACAGCATCTTGTGGTTTGTTATGCAGAACTAACTGGTCACCTAGAATTGTCCAATATACGATCCTGGTGGCATTCCTGCAAAGCACACAATCTACTGGGGGGGCTACAGCTCAATAGTACCACCCTTGCCTAGCATATGCAAGGCCCCAAGTCTCGGTGTCTCTTAAGTGGGGCTACTACACTCTGTCTTTCCTTCTCCTAAGGAGATAGTCAAAAGCGATCATAGACAGGGAAGTGCACTGCTAACTGAAGAGCACAGCCAGTGCCCAGGGATAGGCTTGGATGGCTGTGACCCATGGCTGCAGGTCGGGCTCTGCTCAAAAGGGCATGCAGTGTGTTAGCTCAGCTCCTGCTCAGAAGCCAGGCTGGCAGGCTGAGGGATGGGCCAACTGACCGGAGACTTATTTACAAACATGGTCCTTTTGCCTTCACTTCCTCGGAAAGCCCCATTGGTGGCATACAAATGAGAATCAATAGGCCACTTATTAAATTGTAAATATCCCTCCCTCAGGGGCAGGGGCCAAGAGCTCTGAGCTCTCACCCAAGAGCAGTAGAGCTGACAGCCCGGTCTCTGGGCCTCTGAGCTGAGAGGGGGCCCAGAGCACCTCAGGTAGGGTGTGCCTCTGCCCCCAGCCGAGTGAGTCCCCAGAGTAGGAGAAAGAGGCTGATCCAACCATTAAAGGAGGCCTCGGCCACCACACAGCAGCTACAGTGTAGAAGGGGAGGAGACTGACACCGCCAAGGGCCAGAGGTCTCTCCCAGCTGGCTGGCTGAGTCACAGCGCACGAGTTGGAGAGTGGCTGAGAAATCTCTCCATGGGCCTTCACACTCTGCATGGAGAGAGAGCCCAGGCCCCCAAAGAAAGGGTGACACAGCCAAAGATATATGTCCAGAAGGGAACAGAATCTAGACTTGAATCCAGATGTGTGGCCTTGGGTCTGTGCTATCATCCAAGACGGGATAGGAATTGTCATACAGATGTAGGCTTGGAGACAGTGACTTGGGGAATGACAGTGACTGTGATGACGATGATCATGATGATAATAGTTGTCACTTTCTCAAGGACTTCTGTAGACCATGACCTGGGTTGGGCATTTTAAATCATACACATTATTAAATTTGCCAGGAGCCCCTTTGGGCATCTGGCTCTTTCCATATATGCAAAGGGAGCAGCACATGACTGGCAGGTGGTGGCAAGGTCTTGGCTGGGAGGGGGTTGGACACCAGCCTGAGGTACTGGGACTCTACTCTGAGGGCCAAGAGGAGCCTCTAAAGGTCTGTGAGCAGTACATTATCTTAATAGAGGTGTTTCCCAACTTTCTTGTTATCATAAAGTCAGAGTTTGAGGAACCCAGAGGGGCAATATCTCTCTCTGAGTCAGGCGCAGGGGTTTCCAAGGAGGAGGTGGCTTTCAGAACTTTCCCACCTGCCTGTGATTCCTCTTGGCAGCTGTCTTGGAGCACTGAGTACCTTGGACTTATTTCTGTTTCCCAGCCTCCTGCTCTAAGTTCACATGGTGGCATCCGGGCACCTCTGGGATCACCTGTCCCTGAGACACAGCAGTGGAGGGAGCATAGTCAGGAGTCCTGTTCCAGCCTCTTCCAACCTAGGCAAGATCCAGAATCCCAGGGCCAGGAGTTCTTCATCCTGGCTACACATTTGAATCACTTAGGTAATATTCACACCACCAGTGGCAAATCCCACCATAGGCCATCGAATGAGCCCTGCTCCCTGAGAGGGACTCAAGCACGGATACAGAAATATACATTTACTGTCTGTTGGGTGATCCTACTGGAGAGCCAGGGCTGGAATCCATGGGAATTCTACCCCCAGGCCAGCCCTGGGTCCCATGTGGCCATGATCTCTGGCTAACCGGGTCAGCTGGCACTGGCTGGCCAGGGCTGGCTCAGCCTTGCTGTATGGGGTCCTATAGGCAGATCGGCAGTGTTGCCAGCTCCCACAACCCTCAGAGTCCTTGTTACATACAAGTCTCTGAAGTCAGACTGGGCCCTGGGCTGGGAAAGCCCATGAGTAGTTTGGGCTCAGGCAGAAGGACCCCTTCACAGTCATTGTCCTGTCCTTCCCCCGTGTCCTGGGGAAAAGGCTGGCACCACTACGCCCAGGTTCTTGGCTACTTAATGGTTCATACCCTTGGCACTGTCAGCCTTGCATTCCCACAGTTTATGTTTCCTTTGCTTCCTGAGGACAATGGCTGAGTCATTTTTGCTTAAGACAGAAAATGAAGAGTAAAGAGCTCCAGGACCATAAGCCCAAGGCCCAGGCAGCCAAGTTCAAGCCCAGGGTCTGTTCTATAGTTTGGATCTGGAATGTTTCCCAAAGGCTCATGTGTTAAAAAGCTTAATCCCCAGATTGGTGCCATTGGGAGGTTTCCTTTTTAAGAGATGCGACCTAGTGGGAGATATTCAGGTCTCTAAGGTTGTGCCCTCAAAGGGAACTGTAGGACCCTGGTCTCTTCCTCTTTCTTTTGCTTCCTGGCTATGAGGTGAGCAGCTTTGTTCCTCCACTTTCTCTGTCATGTGCTGCCTATTGGCCCAAAGCAACAGAGCCACTAACCATGGATTGAAACCTCCAAAACCGTGAGTCAAAATCAACCTTTTCTCTTATCGTTGGCAGTCTCAGGAATTTGTTATAGTGACGGAAAGCTGACCGACACCATCTGCTTCTTGCTAGTTGCATGCCTGTGGGCACACTCCCTGGTCCTCAGCTTTCTTTTTGGCAAAATAGTGGGCATGATGAAAATAAAAGCACTCCCCTTATAAAAGTGCCAAGAGGCAAGTTGCCCCTGGATAGGAGTGGCCACTAGGTTGTTTTCCTGCCCTACATCTGAACCTTCTTTCTGGATTTGGAGAATTTTCCACTCCTACCTGTTGCTATAGAAGTTAAAAATCCAGCTTCTCACTTTTCCAGCCTCCTTTGCAGCTTGGGTGAAGACCCATTGCCTGAGGCCTGCCAATTAGATGGGCCATGCTGCACATCAGCAGGGCCTTGGAGAAGCCATGCTGGTGGTGTCTAGGGCAGCACCCCAGGGGCGGCAATGGGCAATCTATGGCATGGGAGGTGGAGCAGTGGGTAGCCCCCTTGGCTCAGTGGTGGCAGTGTCCTTCCCACACTGATCTGACATGCGGTTTGGACACTGTGATTTCCAGCCCTTTGCAATGACTCTCTGAGTCCCCAGTATCCATTCAATAGATGCTTCTGCTCAATCCCCTTTCACTTCTTTGCCTGAATGAATGGCTTTGCTTTATGCAGAGGGGGTGGATTCTCCACAGGACCTGCTGCTGGACTCAGTCACTGTGAGATCCCTGCAGACTAAGCTGCTGCCTAGAGACACTGGAGCCAGGACTCGCACCACTGAGGATGTCAACACAGAGGATGCAGACAGCTGGTCTGGGTTTGGCTCCAGAGCACTGGCCACAGGACTGAGGGGGTCGGAAAGAGGACAGATAGAAAGACATGGCTTCTGATTTAAATGTACCCAGGGATGGCACCTGGGGAGGAGCTGTAGTACATTCTCACTTGCAGAGACCTAGGAACCAGCTGGCCAGGAAACAGGATTCCTGTTTGACCTTGCCCAGGTAAGACCATGGGGTTGCAATTAGAATCTCTCCTCTTTACACTGTGCTCCCCATTTCACCTCTTTTTTCATCTCTGCTCATCCCAGAGGGCAACTGGAGCTGAGAAGGGCACACTGGGTTTCCCAAGTCCCTCAGCAATGGGTGGTAGAGACCAGTCTCCTCGCCAGGTGTTATGTCAATGCTGGACGGGACTTTTGAGGAAATTGAGATTCAAAATGGAGGTGGCCAAGGGAGTACATCATGAGGAGGTAGATTTTGAAGCTGCAGTAAAAACAAACAAAAACCTCAAAAGTACTGTTTATGACTTTGGGATGGCACACCTTGCCATGGGAGAGAGAGAGTCACCTGTGCAGGAGAGGTGGGGGACGCATTAAGGACACAGTTTCCCATACTGACTGGAACATGTGGTTACATGGAGGTAGGGGCTCCTGAGAAGGTGCTGGTTCTTCTGTGATGTTATTGTTCCTCTCCTTGGAGCCAAGTAGCCAAGAGGACTGAGACACCCATGTGAAATGGCCCAGTGTCACATGCTGCAGCAGGCCTGCCTCAAAGGGTACAGCAAACCCCAGAGTGATGAAGTCCTGCCCCAGCATACACTCTCACACACATACACCCTACTGTAATTTATAGAGGGAGGAAACTGAGGCCTGGAGAGGGGAAGCCAGGGACCTCAAGCCAGCGGGAATTAAAGTCAGGATGGGAATCCATCTTTGACCATCAGTTTAGAGCACGGGCCCTGAATGGGGTTTCCCATCAGCAGCCTCTGCATCCCCAGGAAACTTGGTAGAAAGGCAAATTCCCAGGCCTAGCTGATTCTGAAAGGCTAGGGCAGGGCCCACAGTCTGGGCTTCCTCAAACTGTCCAGGAGTTCTGATGTCTGATCAAAGTTGAGAGCCACTATTTTGGGGAATTTTTATTTATTTTATTTATTTATTTATTTATTTATTTATTTATTTTTGAGAAATCAAAGGAATAGATTTTATTTGCGGTGAGGACATAGTTGCTTCAGAATGCTAAGTAGGTGGCAATTTCCCAAGCACCCTGTGCTCAGGCCTTCCCACACATCCTGGCTCTCAGTTCTGAGCTTTCCTTAGGGCACATCTGCCGCTGCCATTGACTTGGGCTTTGTGAAGCTCATGGGCCCAAAGCATAGGATGCCACTGAGGAGGGACAGAGTGGCAGTGACGATCCCTAGTGGGAACACATAGGAGAAGTGTTTCTTGGTCACAGTCTCTTTGCCCACAGTAAACTCTAATGGGAAATCAAGGGTGCTTTGGCCAGAAATATCCATGGCATAGTTCCAGCTCACAGCCAGAGCCACAGAGCCAGAGCTGAGGAAAAGAAGGAGGGCCGCGCTTCTGTAATAGAGTCTCAGAAATTCTGGGTAGGTGGGCTTCAGCCTGCTTACTAGGAAGGCCACTATGCTGAGAATCAGGGCTGCTGGCTGAGTAAAATTCACCAACACCATTAGTTCTTTTGCATAATCAAGCTCAATTGCCTGGGTCCACCCCCTGTGGATGCTGGTATCTACTGGCACATCAACCACTGTGCCAGAGTTGTTTTGCCTGACATAATATTGAGCATCCCAAAGGCCAATGAAGGCAATGGGAACAACATGGCTGTCAAATTCCCACACGCGCCAGGATACACTGCTCACTAGGGTGATACCCAATACCCAGGCCACAGAACTAAACAGGAAGACAGTCAGGGTGTAGATGTGTTGCTTCACTCCAGGAAAACTGCGGAGGAGGCCGAAGAGGCAGGAAGTCAAGGCAGGAATACCAAGGAAGGAGGAAAAAACAGAGCATGCATCATGGTTAGAGAGTAGTAAATATGTATGAAAGTCACATTTAAATGTTCTACATTCATAGTACCATCCTAAATATTTTAGGCAAGAATAAAAGGAGCTTAGCAGCTGTGTATGGTGGGACACCTATAATCCTAGCACTCTGGGGGCTGAGGAGGGTGGATCTAGAGTTCAAGGCAAGCCTGGGCAAAATAGTGATACACAGCTGGCCTGGAGTACATCCCAGGAACCTGTCTCAAAAAAATAAAAAATGAAAGAGAAAGGGAGAGAGCAAGAAAGGAAGGGAGGAAAGGAAGGATGGAGGGAAGGAAGGAAAAAGAGAAAACAGAAGAAAGTATCAGGAAAGGGAAGAAAAAGGAAGGGAGAGGAGGAAAGGTGAGGAGAGAAGGAGAAGGAGAAAACCCCTAGGCATCCATGATGATGGCAGGAGTACGAGTTTGTAGGAGATTTTGGAAGACAGTGTGGCGATATCTTTCAAAAATGGAAATATTCATAGGTCTTATCTATGAATTCTAATTTTTTTTCTGGTATCAGGGATCGAACTCAGGATTTTGTGCTTGCAAGTATGAATTCCAATCTTGAGAATTTATACTAAAATTAAGAGTTTGTGAAAACATATGCAATGATGTTCATTTCAGTGCCATTTGCAATACAGAAAATTGGAAATAACCAAAATGTTTATGGAGGGATATTCAAATAAAATAGAGTATCACTAAGACTAGCGGAATACTACATGGTTAGTACCAAGAAAGAGTTAATACATTTGAAATGTAGAAAAAAACAAAAAAAAATACCCAGAATGAATAAAATCTAAAATCCAAAATGAATAGTAAAATATATGATGTGATATATTGTAAAGGAGAGACATATCTGATTTTCTTTTTATGTACAAATAGACACTAACATACTATTTTAAAGATTTAAAAGATGTACAGAAAAGAAATAACTCTAAGATCAATTTGATAGAGTGGAGATTTTCATTCTTATATACATATATTTCCATAATTTGTTTTACAACAGTGGGGCTTGGACCCACAACTTCACTCATGCTACCACTGAGATGCTATCAGGTGCTGAGGTGCTCTACCACTGAGATAAACTATCAGCCCTATCTATAATGCTTTGTAATGAAAAGTATACATACTTTAAAGGCAGAATGATTGTGACCTTGAAGATCTGTATGTTATATGTCACAAATCATTAGATCTTTTAATGAATTACTTGCTCAAAATCCTACTTCTAGGTATTGGCTTCTCTTGGGTGCAAATTCAAACAATCCTGATGTATTTTACATGCAGCAAATATCTTCTGTGAAGAAAAATGTACACTTCACATTTACACTGTGAACTCAGTTGACTCCCATTGTCAATTCAAAAGCATGAAAGTGTCAGGGATAATAACAAATTTAAGTTTGGGGGCCACCCCTGGGGTTGATTCCCAGAAAGGTGGTGGTAATGTCAGCCCAAGCATGTGGACAATGTGGGTTCTGCCCATGCAAAACATTCTAGGGGCCTCCAAAGTCCATCTCCTTCCCATGCAGTCTGCTGTCTCCAACCAAGCCCCACTGAGTCCCAGGCTTCTGTGGAATATGCTTTCTCATTAGGGGAAGGCAGCTGTCTACTGTGAAGGTTGCCTTAGAAGATAGGTGTGGAAGTGATGGTCAATTTTGAGAATTCACTGTCCAGAGCACTTCCTTGGCAAAGGAGGTCTGAGGGAATGGACCACAGGATCAGGCACCTTTGATGGAGAGAAGGCATGAGGAAGGAGAATGCTGCAGTCATCAGGAAAATGTGCTAGCTTGGGTAGATCTGGTGCTATCTCTGTTAGCAATCAGTGGGTTAGGGACATCTTTTCCTCAAAGGTCAAGTAAGAGGACTACATATAACTTGTATACACATTTACCAAAAGGTGTTAAGGATGATTTTCCACATTTGGAAGATGGAATGATAAATATTCTTCAGAGAACAGGAAACATTCAACAGGGAGAGAGAAATGTCCAACCAACAGGAAAAGACCAACAAGAAACGACGAACCACCTACAAGAAAAGAAGTATTGTTAGGTAAAATCTGAAGTAGTAAATAGGGCTTAAAAAAATTGGCTCCCATAAAATATTCACTACAGCTTTACCCTGTGTTTTGTATAACACAGGCTTTGTATCAATGCTGTGTGGATATTAATACATTCAAACCTCAGAGTCTAGTGACAGATGTAAAATTATGATCCCCATGTTACTGCTGAGGAGAAAGAGCAAAAAGAGCTTACTGGACATGCAAGTTCAATAAATGACATAGACATAAAGGGCAATGCAGACACCAAAGCCCTCACACACAGTGCTTCCTGCCTCTTTCCATACTTGATGGGATTTATTCACACCAAGAGAACCGACAATGGCTGGAGGTGTCCCTCGGTGTAGAGCACTTGCATAACATGCACAAGGCCCTAGGTTCCATCTGCAGTACCACACAAGAAGAGTGTCAGGCTGGGGATTTAGCTTAGTGGTGCCACTACCTGCCTTGCAAGCGCAAGGTCCTGAGTTTGATCCCCAGTACCAAAAATAAATAAATAAAAAAGAAGAGCGTCAACAAGCAGACAACTCCCATTCAATTATCTTGCCTGGTGGGTTTGTTCTGTTGAGCCTCATGGAGTTGTGACCTTCATTGTCTTTTTCTAGGATATTGTTTAGAATTTTTTGGAGTGCCGATTTGGTATTTATGAAGTTTCTCAGGAGTTCTTCATCATGGAAGTATCTTATTTCCCCATCAATTTTGAAAGATATTTTTGCAGGATACATCAGTCTAGGTTGGAGGTTGTTTTCTTCTAGGGTGTGAAATACCTCACTCTAGGCTCTCCTTGACTTGAGTGTTTGTGTTGAAAAATCTGCTGTAATTCTGATGAACTTTCCTTTGTATGTGATTTGTTTCTTTTCTCTAACTGCTTGTAGCATTTTGTTCTTCTGTTGGGTTTCCAGGATCTTGATTATTATATATCTAGGTGTAGATTTTTTTTTTTATCATGGCTAGTTGGAGTCCTATATGCCTCACTTATCTGTATGTCAAATTCTTTTGCTCTGTTTGGGAAGTTTTCTGTCATTAATTCTGTGAACAGTTTTTTTTAATGTCATTTGTACTTTCTCCTGCTTTTTTTGTGGATACCCATCAGTCTTATATTATTCTTCTTTGTGACACCTAGGAGCTGCTGGATCGATTTCTCGTGGTTCCTTACTATTTTTAAGAGGTCTCTCTTTTCATGATCACTTACTGAAATCCTGTCTTCTATATCTGAAATTCTGCCTTCACATTGGCTCATTCTGCTGCAAATGCTGTCAATAGAGTTTTTAATCTCCTGGATATCTGTTTGAATCTGTTTCATGGATTCGATTTTTTTCCTATGCTGGGCATTCATGGCTTCCATCATAGTCCTGAGCTCATGTATTTTTTTTTTAAATCTGTTTCTGTTCTAGAGTCTCTAATCATGTTTTTCATTCTGATCACCATCTCTGTAGTTATCTGGGAAATTATTTGTGTTTTGAATTTTTCTAGAGCCTCATTCATCTGTTTTGTTACTTCCTGTGCTATTAGTTCAGGGTGTCCAGGTGGTTGATTATCAGATTTTTCCACCTCGTTTCCCCCAGAATTTTCCTTTGGTGAGCTGGAAGTCTGGGTTTACGCCTTGCTTAGGTGTCTTCTCATTTCTATTTTTGTTGTTGGTACTGTTTTTGGTTTAATTCCTGGGTTGATACTTCAATTTTGCTTATTCTAAGTATCTTTGTTGCTTGTATTTAGAACCCTTACAGAATGATTGCTTCTCAGAGGTGTCTTCTAGATATAGTTGGTCTTTAAGTTTTGAGTCTCTAAAGACTATTAGGCAATCTTGTTTTCAGTATACCAGGAAGGACAACTGATTAGATCAATCAAAACACCTTAACCCAAGTGATACAATCAGCACCAACAATAGCATCAAGCACAGCTTAGAGAATGACAATTTGTGGTAGTTTTTAATCTATCACCTTTAACTGTGTGAATTAAATTAAAATTGAGGACCAGCCAACATATGTTTATAGTGAATAAACTCTTCAATATAGCAACTTCACCCTTTGGGATGGGGGCTTAGAAGGAATTGGGGAGATAGGTACAAGGGATAGATAGGTACAAGGATAGAGAAAGGTTAGAAGTGAGGCCAGAGAATACAGGAAGATCATGCAAACTCTAGCAAAGTGTTGGAAGACAAGAGGAAAAGACAAAATGAAAGAAAGACAAGAACAGGACAACCTAACAGCAATAGGGAAGCTAGAAACTGTATTCACTTTCCTTTAAAACTAATGACAATTGAGAGAAGAAAAGAAAAAGAAAAAAGAAATCTGAATTAGGACAGTAACATAAACAGAAAGGGAGAGAGATGAAGAACAAGGTGGGAGAGAAAGCGAGAGAGACAGAGAGAAAGAAAAGAAAAAAGAATAAAAAGAAAAAAAAATTTGAAAAGAGAAAAAATTAAAAATAAGAGAAAAAAATAACTTTGAAAATAAAAAATAAAAATAAAAATGAGGGGCCTCCTTCAGGGTATGTCTCTGCTGTCACAGTAGACAACGTGGGCAGCAGTGTGCAGATCTAAGTCAATTAGTCTCAGCACATCAGCAGCAGTCCCCTGAGATTCAGGCTGAGTTCTGGCTGCAAGGCCCAAATTGAGCTCCCTGACCTCCTGCTGGATTGAACTCTACAAGGTTCTACTGCAGGTTCCAGCTGCCCTTCCCCTGAAGATAGTCCAGGTTCTGGTGGGAGGTGATGATCCCTCCAACTTACTAACTAGGGTGGTCTGGTGTGCCCTTATTGCAGAGATTTTCTTCACTTTTCCAGTGGGCTTCAATTTTCATCAAGGAGCCTCAGAGAGGCCCTCTTTCTGTTGTTCACTTCTGCTCTTATCTTCTGGAGCTCAGAACAATGTCCTTTATGACCCCCTGCACCTCTACTGTACGGATCCAGGTACTGGCTCGGCACAGCCGCGGGACGGGGGCGGGGGGGGGACGGCTCACCTCCTTGGCTCTAGGGGTGCTGGGGGCGGTGCAACCACAGCCCGGCACCTCCTCGGCGCTGGGGTGGGGGTGGAGGCTCTGCAACGGCTGGGTGGGGGGGCTGCTCCCCAGCGCTCGGGGGCTCTGCAACGGCGGCCGGTGGGCGGGGGGAGGGGGAGGCCTGTGCGCCTTGACTCTGCGGGGGGCTCTCGAATTTTTAGTTATTAATTAGACTGGGTTTGAGTTTGGTTTTGCTGTTGCTTTGCTTTGTTTTGCAGTGCTGGGGGGTCAAATGTAGGGCCCGCTGAATGCTAGGCAAGTGTTCTACCACTGAGCCACGTCCCTGGCATTGTGCTTTTTGTGTTACAGCATTAACTGACCTGACCCGAGGCCCAGGGCTGGGATTTCCCGGGTGTTGTCCACCCACCTTAAGCCATATGAGGTAATGTGGCCCTCCCTGGCTTATGGACTACACACTTTTGCTCTTAAAGGGGTTAACATCTCCAAGCTCAGGACTGCAAAGTCACCAGGCAACATGCTGGCTTGACTAGTGTTAGAACTCATAACTCCCGTGTTTTCAGCCTGGGATCAAGTGGCTCACCTGGGTCTGGTTCCTCTTACTCCACTCACGTGACATCACAGGGCCTTGTCATACCTCCAACCCCACAGAAGACTCTGGGCCACGGCACTCTGACCCAACCAGCAACAGGCTTTTCTCCTAGAACCCTGGCTATTCTGGCTAGGGAGGGCTGGCTTGGTTTATTTATTGCTATCATTAATTAGTTTTGTCGGGGATGAAAGACAGGTCCCTAGAGAAGGCCAGTGCATTAGAACCCATTATTCCATCATTGCTCTGGGCTTGCCGGCAAGAAGCACAGCCCCTCTTTGCTGTCAGCCCCTCACAATTAATTAGCCCGAAGCCCGAGAGGCAGCTCGTGCTCCCTGTGGGTGGGGAAGGGCTCTTTTCTGGCATCCATGTCCTTCAGGGCTCCTCTGTCCTAATTTGAATTGAGGGAGGTGTTGGACAAGCCCTCCTGGGTGAAGGGAACTGCCATAGCAAGGTACAGGAAGAAGTGGGGATTCCAGGCCAGATCACACGCCGGTCCTAATGAGACTGCTATTGAATGCATTGTGTGCTGGCAGACCCTGGGCTAAGTGCTTTGAGCACATATCTAATTCTCACAAATGTCAGCGAGGCACATCTTTATATGAAGAAATGGAGGCTGGAGCAGGGATGTTGCCCGGACCACAACACAGTGACAGATCAGGGTCCCCCTGGGTCTGTCGGACCTACTCAGTGTGGCTCAGGAGGCTGGGAGCCTGGTACCCCAACAGGGAAAGAAGGTCAAGTCATGGATAATGAAGCAGAGATGATGGGCTATGGGATGTGGTCAAAAGGTCCTCCACTGGGCGTGAAATTAGCAGCCAGGAGTTTGAGACTACATGTGAACAGAGTGACCATTGGTAAGTCCTCAGTTTCCCCATCAGTGAAAAGATTAAGTCCAAAACCATGAGCTCTTCTCTGGAGAAGCAGAATAGCCTAGTGCTTCAAGTGAGATGGCCTTTGGGAAGTTACTCAATCCCTCTGAGCCTCAGATTCCTATCTGAAAAACGGGTAGAAACGCCAGCCTCACAGGATCTATATAAGGACTCACTGAGATAGCACATGTCTGACATTTAGGATGGGCCAAGAAGTATGACAAAGAGGAGGACTGGGAAGGACTTAGTCTCAGTCCTGTTTCACCATGGGTCTTGATCAAGTTAATCCAGTAATTACAGAATCGCCCTGCACTGTGTATTCATTATGGCTGGTGACCTTGTGAGGGGAAAGTAACAGCAAGGCTCTGAAAGGGCCCTTCTGGTTCCTTGCTCAAGATTGGATTCCAGGCCTGCTCATCCCTCCTGCTGCGTAACCTGGGGCACATTGACCACATGGCCTTCCTCATTCCAGGCCTTCATCTTCCCATCTTTGGTCCAGGCCAACGGGGACACAGACCCGACCCCCACTGTCTCCTCACATGGGCAGGAGTGGCAGCTACCGAAGGCCATCTCTGGCCTTCACTATGGCTGACTCAGGCTTTGGCCAGAGGCAGGGGCCAGGCTGCTTGCCTGTGGGTGCTAAGAAGTTAATTAAACCCTTGAGAAGCCATTTGTTAGGAGGGCAGCGATGGTATATTCAATACCAACCAAGGGTTAGTGCAAAGTAATAAGTCTTTCTTTAGCTGTGAATAATGGGTTCCCTCCCCTCGCCCGCATCCCCAACTCTGAAAGATGGTCCTGGTGAAGCCATGGCTCATCTTAATGGCTGGTATTCGATGAGCCCAGTAGGCTGGCCTTCAGCGCTCAGCATCTCCACCAGACACCAGCTTCTCTCTGTTTGGTCTCTAACTCTTCTCCAGAGGAGACCTGAGGCCCAGCAGAGAGATCGGGCAATCTCCCCCACCCATTTCTTCCTTTCTTTCACCCCAGCTACCAGGGAAAAGTTCAGGGCCACCGTGTTGTAGGTCCACAGCACTCATATGGTATGTAGTCAGCAGCCTTGCCATGTGGCAGGCTCAGAAACTGTTTAGAAGGGAAAGGGGAATTAGAATAGGAGGTAAGGGTTTGTCTAACATTGGCCCAAACAAGTGCTAATCCATCCGATTCCTGTTAACCTCCTCCTCCCTCTCAGGTCCACATGCCCAGCGTACAGAGGGCAACCTGCCTTGAACAGCAAGAAAGATGGGAGAGGATAGTGTCCCAGCCTGGTCCAGGCTCAGCATGTGGTATGCATACAGCTGACTCCACCTTTCTGAGCTTTGTTCTTCCCTGGGTGCTTCTGCAAAAAGTGAGGCTGGTCTAGCTGCATATCCCACATGGGCCTTGGGGACAAAGGAGACCTTATCAGAGTCTCGGCACCTAGCTCAGGGCACAGCATGGCCATGGTCTTGGGCACCTACACCCAGGAGCATCTAACTTTGGGTGGCTGCCAGGATGGGTCCCCTCTGCTCCTGCTGCTCACCCTGGGCCACCATCCCTCTGTCTGTTCATCTCTTTGTGGGCATCCCCTGCTCAAGACAAAGTTCTGGCATCAGAGGCAGTTTCAACCCACCTCCAACCCGTACCTGAGGGAGCACAGTCACAGCTGAGAAATAGGGAGCCCTGAGGCCTCCCCTTCACCAGGTGGTCTTTGCTTTGTCCCCTTTGTGATAGTACAAAAAGAGGCCAGTCGGGGGAGAGAAGGATTCCATGGCCTAGCAAGTATCTGTCACCATCCTGGAGCCAGCATGGGGAAGTGATGCGAGGGGTGGGGTGCAATCATTCACTGGCAGAGCTGGGGACAAGGCGCCTTGATTAGGCCTCTGAGATAATCGCCACACACCTGGGCTGGCACCCCCAGGACTCCCCCAACCTGGCAGCCGCCCCTTTGTCTGCCTGGGGAGTCTCCAGCTTCAAAGGCTGAGATTGTGGCTGATACATTGGGCTGGAGCCAGGCACTGGAACCTGAGAGCCAAGTGATGGGGGGGGCTTTAGGGGCCAGGGGCTCCTAGAGCTGCGGGAGACAGGCTCCCTTGTCACCCAGTGGATGAGCCATTCTCAGAGGTGGAAGCTCACATCCTTGGCTTCTCTAGGCCAGAAAGTGAGCCAGGAGTTAGGAGCAGAGAGGACCAAGTGGGGAGAAGAGGGAGAATGGGTGATATGTGTGTGTGTGTGTGTGTGTGCGCGCGCGCGCACATGCACGCATGTGTGTGCACTTGTGTGCACATGGATCTTACATCACAATCTTTATACATGGTCAAAGTGAGGATAGGAAAAGACCATCAGTCCACTGGATGGTTCCCCTTGGTTCCCCTTCCAGTGGTCACCTGGCTCCAGGGGATGGTTCCCATGTCTCTCTTCTGGAGGGAATTCTTTGGCTAGGGGTGCATACTTGGCCATTCAGGGAGCAGGACAGATGTTCCAGGGGTGATGGCCCTCACACTGTGCAGAATGAGAGCAGGTGGGTAAATACTGGGCATCCCTGCCCCTTGAGGAGTGGAGTAGTTTTGCAGTGTGTTCCACCCAGTCATCTAGAAGGTTCCAAGCAGGAGTGAGCCAGAACCCACTCATGAACACACTCCTTCCTGTCTTTGCTCCCTTCCCCCTCACCTTATGCCCTGCACAAGCCTCCTGGGCTCACCTCTCAGATAAACGACTTTCATCCAGGCCCAGGGCTACCTGTGTGGGTCCCCAAGTAAAGATAAGGTGACAGTGCGGGTGGGTTGGGTCCTCCTGGTTCCTGGCACAGGGACCATGAGCAGGGAAGGGCAAAGAGACAAAGCCTCTCAGAGGCCGCTAGGCTGCACATCTTCCCTGAGCAAAGAGGTCCCAGATTCCCCTCTAGCGGTGGGTGACAGATCAGACCCTTGGGCACACACTGGAGCCCACCGGGAGCCTGTACTGTGGCGTTGGGGCTTGAAGGTCTTGGGAACTCCTGGCTAGGGACACACATGAGTGTGGACAATGGTGAAGGCGGGCAGGTGGGCATCTGTATATATGTAAATGTGGCATTGTACGTCTGTTGTGCTTTCACAATCAGGATCAAGGGGCTTCTGGCTTTGAGGCTCTGGCCCTGGCCTGGCTTCTCTGCAGAACAGCTGCAGGACAGGGTGCTGTCCCTCAATGCGGAGGCTGGAGCAGAGCTATGCTTGGTACAGAGGGAAGACAGGACCACTCCACCTCCTGCCACTCAGTGGGGACATGGGGTGTCACGGAGTGCTCCATGCTGCCACATGGCTCTGACTCTGTCCCAAGGAAGGATCTATGTGAGGGGTATTTAACACCTCATGGATTTGGGACCCATTTCTGAGGGCCCCAGGCCCAGGAGCTACAGAGCCAGAGCATCTAGGGGAAGCCTAGTCCCGTCCTGCCCATTCCCTTCCACACCCTGCCCAGTCTGTGCCACTCACCTGCACCCAAAGCCCTGATTTCCCACTAAAAATGAGCAGCAAGTTTGGCTGTGTGTTTCTGGGGGTGAGGCAGGGGACATTGTCTGCCCAAGAGAGGAGCTGATAAGTAGTTAGCTTTTTTCAGAGTAAGCAGTCATTTCCATGATCAGGTTTAAAGGAGACCCCGGCCTCCCTGGGGCTGACATTTCTGCCCCAGGGACCTCCAGGTGCAAGGCCCTGGGAGGTCAGCTTGGGGCAGCCCAGTGTTTCATGTGAGGGAGGTGAGGCTCAGAGAGGGAAAGCCGTGTCTCCAGGGTCTCACAGGATAGCAGAAAGGCCAGGATTAGAGCTGGTACTGGGTTTGCTAGAACTAGAACCACCAGTCTACAGAGGAACTTTGCACTCTTCTGGCCCTCTTGGCCCATCACTGAGTTGTTTTTTTTTTTGGTACCAGGGATCAAACTCGGGTCCTTGCACTTGCAGGCAGGTGGTGGCACCACTGAGCTAAATCCCTGGCCCTCATTGAGATTCTTCTACACTGACCAGGAACCACAAGCAGTGTCCCTGCTATGTGTGGCCCCAGGGTTCTGAGGCAGCTCCAGGGAATGGCTCCCACCCATCACCCCAGCCAGGCCTGCTGGCCTGTCTGACACCAGCAGCCCCTGATCTCACAGGCCTCTGAGGGAAAGCCCCAGACAGGCTGAGTGAAGCCAACCCTGCCTGGCTGCCACCCCGCCAGCCCTTCAATACTGGGCCTCTAATTTCATGGTCCCGCCCCTGCTCACCGCCTGTCAGTGTTAATTTATTTGGAAATAGGGTCTTCGCAGATGTAATCCAGGACATGGTCCAATGTCCTGGTAAGGAGGAAATATGGATGGAACAGAGACACACTGAAGGCGGTGGGGACAGTATGGGATGCTGTAGGCCGAGACTGGAGTAATGCAGCTCAAGCCATGGAGCATAGAATGGCCAGCAGGCCCCAGCTTCTGGTGGGAACAAGGCAGGATTCTTCTCTACAACCTCTGGAGCGAGCCGACCCTGCCCACACTTTTGTTTCAGACTCCTGGCTTCTGAACTATGGGAGATTTCACTTCTGCTCTTAGCCCGCTCTGTGATCATTTGTCATGATGGCCCTAGGAAACACATACCCATCCTCTCCGCACAGCTGGAGTCACTTGTCTGACCCACCCCATCATGGGCTTTAGCCACCCTGGCCCCTCGTCCCAGAACTGGGTCTCAGCTCCCTGTCTGCTGCTTCTTTGGCCTTGAGCTCTACCTCTAACTACCCTAGCCCCACTGCCTGATCCTTCACCTTCGGGCCCAGAACACCTGGGCATCTCCCACCCTAAACAGTTCCGTTTCTCCCCTGCAACCCCTGGGCCAGCTCCCCTTTCCCTGTCCCTCCTTGTGAGGCTGAGTCAGGCTTGTTCTCCAAATACTTGCATCTTCATCTGCAGCAGATACCCTGTCCCATCAGCGTCACCTGGCCTGCAGCCTGGTGGGAACCCCTGGACTGGATGACCCCAAAACCCTTAGTAGCACTTCTAGCTTGTCATATGCTCCATTGTCTTCACTGGTTTATTCAAGAATCTCTGCCACTGGATGGAACTCTGGGAGTGAAGGTCATGCTGTGCTCTCCAGGAAAGCACAGCCTGGAAGAGAACACAAAGATGATTTCCACCCAGACCTTTTCTTTGGAGATGGGGAAACTGAGCCCCAGAGATCAGAACTTGCCCAGAGTTAAGCAGCCAACAGGGACAAAGCCAAGGGTTTTCCACAGTAGACACCACATTTGGAGTAGTTCTTCTGGTGTCCCCAAGAGAAGAAGCCACTTCCTGGGTCCCACCAGCCTCACAGTGCCCATAGGATTTAGGTGGAGCCCCAAGGGCTGGAGGGGAGCCCTTGCTCCTAGTGGAGGTGCCACAGTGAGCTGGTCAGACTGGGCGGGAGTGGGTGTGTACCGTACCTGGGCAGGACTGGGAGCTCATGGGTGGAGAATCCTGTCTGCGGCTGATGGGCTCTGGCACACTCCCTAGACTGCCTCTGTACCTGCCTCAGTTTCCGCATCTCATCCAGACTTGGGACAGTTTGACAGCAAGAACAAAACAACTGCAGGTTCAGATTTGGGCTCTGCTACATACCAGCTTGGATACATCACTTAGACTACTTGAGCCTCAGTTCCCCCACTGCAAATATTGGGGGGAGAGGCACCTGAAGCCAGATGCAGCACAGGCTCACACCAAGTGCTTTCCTTTCTTGTAGTCCCAGCACCCACAGGTTCGCCTGCCCCCGTCATGCCTTGGGTGTCCCCAGCTCCCTCCCTGGGGCGGGCTGAGCCCACAGGTGGACTGGAAGACCTCCTGGGCCTGCTCTGGGCCCGGCACATATCAAATGGTGCCTTGTTTCTGTCTCACAGCAAACCTGTGAGGCAGAGACCACAGCCCATCCTGCTGAGGGGGAGACTGAGGCTAACCAAGCAGAGCCAGTGTGGGCTGGCTGGGACGCACTACCTCCCTCCCTACCTTATTTTATGACTTCTGCCACCTGCCAAGATTTTCTCTGGCTTTAGTGGCGTCAGTGCCCTGGGTGTATCTGCAGGCAGGTGATTCTCAGCCATGTGGTATGGGACCAGTTCAGGTCACTGTACCATACTCCAAGCACCCCAAACTTCACTGGTATCTTGAACAGCTTGAGGCCACTGCTGTGGTCCTCAGAAGTAGCCATACACCTTTTCCCTGGGTCTCACCCTGCTGGCACAGGCGATCCTGGTGAGGGCCATGGGCAGCAGTTGCCAAGATGCCTGGCCTCTTCCAGGAGCCCGTCAATTTCCCCTGCCCCCATGTGAGATGAGGCATCCAGGGAGATGAAGGGTCTGTCCCACTGTCCACCTAGTTGGCTCTGCCAAGCCAGGCAATTTTGCTGATGTCACCTCTCTGGAGATACTAAATATTGACAATGCAATCAATTTCCCCTGCACCTTCTGTGACTCATGTCTTGGTATGTGCTGGAGGGAAGACAAGTAGCCTGGGGGGCTCCATGTAGGTGATGGGCATACATTCTCCAGGCACTCTGGTACTCATGGGCTGGTGCTGAAAGGGGCTTGGAGGTCATCTGGTCTACCCTCCTGATGTCCACCAGAGCCATAGATGAACAGAATTCATAGTAGGAGAAGTCATCCGGCTAGCTCCTTACAGTGATCAATCACCTTCTCTCTTAGGAATTTCCCCTGCAAGTCTGATCATGATGCAGACTGACCAGGAGCTTGATAGCCAAGCCCCATCTCTTGACACCCAAATGAACCCAGAACTTCATTTCTAAGGACCAGAGCACCTAAAGGGGCTCAGAAGTCTCCCTTGGAGCATTTTCTGACTCTCCATTTGCTGTGTGACCTTGGGAAATGTATAATATCTCTGAACCTCAATGTCTTCATCTATAAAATGGGATGGCATCTCTGCCTAGCTGACTCCCAGTACTTGGGGACAGGGCTTCAGCTTCCCTGGCACAGTCCTGGGTGGAGGGAGGAGCCCTGGGCTGGGTGTGCTCTGCAGTAAACAACTCGATCATATGAGACAATAAATGTGCAAGGGCTTTGCAAATGTAAATTGCTTTGTAAACAGAGTGTTGTGTAAATGTTAGGGGTAATTATATGCTTCAGGAATTAGGCAGACTTCCTCAGATTGGGGAAGGCTCCTAATTTGTTCTTTTACCCCAGCACTGGATGCCTGTGCTCAGTTTTTTGGGAGGGGGGAGCCCCCCAGAGCCCAGATTGGCCATGTTTCTCCCCTTCTCCCCTCCTCCCCTGGGTTTCAAGCCAGCCAGACTCAGGTTCCTGATTAAAAAGGCCCAGGAGTGGGGAGCTTATCAGTTACAGGGAATCAATAGGCGTTTTCTTTATATTTTTCAATTAAAAGAGCTGACAGAGAAGAGAGAAAAACTCAAGTGCCCTGGTCGTCAATAGCTGTCAGGGAGGGGAAGAACAGGGTCAGTGGACTGGGCATCTGTGGGCTGGGCTGGCCATCTGTCAAGGCTGGCTCTGTGCCTGGGCCTGGCTGCTCTGGGGACCATCTGGATGTGCCCAGCAAAGGACAGAGGGTGGGCAGTGCACCTCTCAGGGGCTCCCCAGGACTTCTGGTCTGCAGCGTTGCCTTTTGGGCCTTCACCTGTTAGGGCAGGAGCCGAGGCAGATAAGAGAAGGCCCTTGGGCACAGAGATGGCTCATCAGAGGCCTGATTTGCTGCTCCTAAAGGTTTTCTGCTCCCCAAGATATCCAGGCTCCAGAGCCCCCTCAGGTGGGGGCCTGTGAGCACAGCGAGGTGACCACTGTTTGTGTCCTGCTGCACAGGATGAGGAAAAGGGGAAACCCAGGATCACTCTGAGGGTTGGAGTCTGAAGGTCAAGGTTTACTGAAGTGGAGACCAGGAGCAGAACAGAGGCACAGGCTGGACACTCAAGGGATCAGTGTACATTAGCAAAACCTGTGCAACCTCTAAGTAGAGCTTCATTCCCAGAAGGCAGAGATGTGAGTCTGGAGCTTGGGGCAGAGCTGGAGGCTTTGGACATCAGTCTGAGTCAGTCATCAGCTAGAAATGGCACTTAAGCCTCAGGCCTGGTCAAGAGTGCCTGGGAGAGAGAAGAGCTGTCCAGGGAGAGCAGATTGAACAGAAGAGGAGTATCTTTGTCTGAAGTGCTAAGCCAGGAGATGAAGGAGAGCTGAATGTGCATGCCCAACATTGCTGAACTCCTTACTACCATAGGATCCTTGGAGTAGTCCTTAGGGGCAGGAGATGGGCCAGGTGCTATGTGTAGTTGCACATGTTAGGCACTGCATAACTGCAGAGGGTTTAATTTACCAAGAGTACAGTGTGACAAGGACCCCTAGAGTCATTCAGTTTACAGTCTTCGCAGGCATCCACAGCCCTTTGCAAGGACAGAGAGAATAGGAGCCACAGCAAGGAGCCTCCAAGATCTCAGCAGAGGTAGAGAGTGTAGCCGTTAGGGCAGTCAGAGAAGGTTTCCCAAAGGAGGGGGCACTTGCCCTGGGACCCAAAGGATGGGCAGCAACCCACCCCTTGAATCTGGGAGGGTTTCCTCCTGGAGGCAGGGGATTGCAGGTCATGTTTGAGATTGTCAAGGAAAGCAAGAAGAGTTACAGAAAGACTGTTCCAGGCCAGAAGCTGGAGGCCCCTGCGTGACATACCAGAGAGATGCCCAGGGTCACCTGACTCTCTCCAAGTCACCCTGGTCAGACCAGGTACTGCTTGTGCCACCAGGATGTGGGAGCTCCTTTTCACCTCACCTCTCACAATGGTTGTCACAAGTTCTTCTGCACCCCCACCCCAAATCCTGTGCTCATCTCTGGCAGCCCCTCAACACTTCCAGGAAGAGGTGACAGCTGCTTCTCCAGGCACTTCTGGTCTTCAGAAGCAAAGAGCCTCCCACCTTCATTCCCCAAGCCCCAACTCTCAGCAGCTCTGCGAGCCTGGAGTGGGAGAGACGGAGGACCTGGACATCAGCACAGAGGGGAAACAGCTGTTGGGCAGTGTCCTTGTCTGTGACCCTCAGAAAGAAGCAGTCAGGGCTAAGCCTCCTGGGATGGCCTCGGCACATTCTAGTCTGATATCAGAAGGGTATCTGGCACTGTGTGCTGGCCCCAAGCAAGCCAGCCCCAGACTTCATGATCCTCCATGCGTACTCCCATACTCCACACACATGCCACTCATATGTACACATGCACACACTTACGAATACATTTTTACATGCACATGCTTGCACAGGTACATACTCGTGCATATGCAGACTTACACACACATATACACATATATATACTGCTCCAGTCACTCCAAAGACCTGCTGCTTTATCCAGTGTCATTCTTTGTCTCCTCTTAGTCTTGAGACCCTCCTTCTTCCTCTTTTCAGTCTCAGTTTAAGGGTCCCCTTCTCCAAGGCCCTCTCTGTTGCCCCAGTTCACATAGATGCCCTCCTCTGGGTCCTCTCTGGCACAGTTTCTGGCTCTGTGTCTGTCCTCCTGGCCTGTGCATGATGAGGGCAGATGTCACGTCTGTCCTGACCCCTGCAGCATCTCCAGGACCTTGTATGAAGCAGGTACTCAATACATGCTATGGGAAAGGAGCAAGGAGCAAATGTCACTGCCTGTGAAATCCTGGTGTTTCTCTTTCTACAAGGCAACTCCTCCTGGCTGGATAGCCACCTTGGCCACCATCAGTCCCAGTCCATCCCCTCCCTGGCTTTCTCTTCCCTGCATGATCTCAGGTTTCTTGGTGACCCCATGTGACCACCTGCTGAAAGGTCAGGTCACCCAGGGGCTCTTCCTGAAATGGTAGGACAAATGGACCCCAAAACCAGGAGACTCCAGACCTGGGCAGAGCCGAGTCAGGCTATTGGCCCAGCTCCCAGGCAACAATGTCACATCTTTTTATGCCCTTGCCTTCCTACTTCCTTGCCCTGTCCAAGACTAGTTCCAGGAGAACCTCAGCTGGGCCAGGCTGTGGCTTCCTTTGCCCACCCCCCTGTCCATCTACAGCCCTGCCAGAGGCAGGCAGACTGGCCTGGGTCCACGGGGCTCCTCACTGCTAGCTCTGCCCTTCTCTGGGCAGGTCCTCCTGGGAGAGGGTCAAGCAGGGCCCTCAGCACTGTGGGACCCTCGCTGAGAGCTCTCTTGAGGCTTTGCAAATTGGGGCTGCAGTTGCAGAGGGCTGCATAGGGGCTGAGGCTGCCTTGGTTTGGAACACACTTGGTCACTGGCAGATCACTGGCCAGCAGTATTCTGGAGAAGGCATGTTTGTGTCTATTGCACATGGGCGTTTGAGCAGGTCTCATGCGCTCAGGCCTTCTGAGTGCCAGGCACAGAGGACACCACAGCTGCCCTTTACCCAAGGACTCTCTTGGGTTTAGGAGAAGAAGTCCAGGAACTCAACAGGCCTGCTTCACAGCTGGTGCTCAGCCAATACAGGGTGGTGGCTAAGAGCTGAGGTGTGTGCTACTGTCGGTTTCATGGGGGCCCTGAGCAGCAGGGAGTCCAGGCAGCAAGGTGCCCTCCTGGGGGAGGTGACTGTGGAGCACTTGGAACGACTCAATCCCATAGGGAGGAGTGGGAGGGGAGTAGGAACTAGCTGCTGCTTGGAGAGCATCACCGCTGTGTGGAACTGGGGTCCAGGCAGCATGTGAGTGTGTGAGCTCGTGTGATATGTGCTTTATGTCAGTGCGTGAGTGTGCACAGGTAAAACTTGCACGTGTGAGCAAGTGTGAGTGTATATGTGAGTGTGGGATACAGCAAGTTCCTGTGACTCTGATTTAGTGAGTGAAAGACAGGATACGTACATGAGTGTGAGCATCTATGCCTGTGCAAATGAGTGTGTGAGCCCATGAGGGTATAAGGCAGTGAGTACCTGTTTGCATTACACATACACCAACACCACCACTGTGCTTGTTCTTGTAATCACTACAATTTGTTGGATTCGGGCTGGGTGCCCAATTCTCCATGAGATACAAAGAAAATGATTTTCACACCCCAGGGACCAGCCCAGATGGACAAGGCCTCTTGTGGTCAGTGGTTACAGAGCAGCAGCCATGAGGGCATTGACCGTCAGGAGCAATGGGTCCTCTAGGGGGTGCCCTAGCTGGGTCTAGGAGCTCACTGTGTGACCTTGGCCTGGCTCCCCTGCCTTTCTGGGCTGGATGATCACTAACTGAGGGCAGTACATGAAGAAACATGACTGTCAGGAGGGACAGGACTTTCCCCAACCTGCCCCCTCAGCCTGTGGCCCTGTGCAGATAGGCACATCCTCCACACACAGGCTGCACATCTCCCAGGAAGGATCTAGGAGTACATTTTAAGCGTCTGCTCCAGAAGACTCTTAGGAGTTGGGGCTGGGTACACGGAGCATGAGTTGGGAGCCAGACTGTCACTGACAGCAATGGTAACTCAAGCCCCATCGTCCCAGGGAAAGCTCTGAGTGGCAACTATCACTTTATATCCATTGTCTCACATCATTCATCTTGCAGCCGCCCAGTGAGGAAGGTCTGATGGGTCCCATTTTATAGTCAAGGAAACTGAGTCTTCGTAGCATCCTCAGAATGGGGATCTCGAGTCCTTTGAAAGACAGTGACAACTCCAGCTCCTGGGTTTGTCTTGGGGTGAAGTAGACACTGGCTGGGAAGGGGCCTGAACAGTGCCTGGCTCTTGGTGCACATGCTGCAAAGGGCCGTGTCAGGAGCTGGGGCCTGAGAAGGAGAAGGAGTCTCAGGGACCTAGGGGCTCCACTCTCCAGCTGACCTTGCACCAG